ATATGCGGGGCGCTGGGACGCGTGCATGTAACCACTCGGATACCAGCTACAAGGTCAAGGTTTGGACGTAGACACTGAACTGGGGAGTTCGTGCGTTCGGTGATGGCGACAACAGTTCTCATGCGAGTCAACTATCGGCCACTGCAGTTTGCCTCACGTCTCTCAGCACGACGTGCAGGCTCTGATACCAAACTGTAACACCCCACTTTAATTTTAAAGAAATTCCGGACTTTCCAAAACCAATATGAATTTTTCGAGATCATTTTCGAAATTCTATGGGTATTAATCAACGTTTTTCTTAACCCAAGTCATATCTGGGCCCACGGGATTTCATTACCCGGATTTTTCACAAGGTTTCATTACCCTGATTTTCAACATAAGTTATTCAGCTCGTAAACGAAGGCATGAAATAACCAAACACATTATGACCAATTCACATTAGGTTCATCAAAACATCCCAAAAATTAACATACTCAAACAGGAGTTTTTAAAACAGTTTTCATGTCTTAACCCAAAACAAAGTTCCAAACACTAACACATTTATTCATATGCGGAAGCATAAATAATCATAATCATAAGACCGACCCACTTGTCCTTCCTCGTCACTCGGCTCCTGCTTAACCTGCATCCGTGAAGAGCAGGTGGGGATGAGCACAACATGAAAATGCGTGCTCACCACTATGCACGTATATCACATTAATAAATAATGTAAAGAAGGTATGGTTATAGCATGAACATAAATCAGTTATTCTGTCACGTCTCCTAATCACATCACAACATATTACCCACTTGTACACATCTTTCATTAGCCACGGAAAGGGGATTCATTACCCTAACTCATGGGGGTACGTGCCATACAACAAGACACGGCCTTTCATTAGGTCTTACGGAGACTTACTTCGCAAGGGTAACCGTATTACATCGACGGGGACAATCGTACCGACGGCCGAATCGGCTCACGCCGATAGGCTACATGGTTTACATGCATACTTAAATCATACCAACCCAACATTAAAGTAAACACATACGGCATAGCAAATTTTATAAGTAAATCCACCTGGTTACCGAAGCGATAGATACAAAAACACGAGTAGGCAGCGAGCTCAGCTCGTCAAACACCTACATATATTAAAATAGTCCTATAAATGACTATTCAACACATGACCAACCAATCATAACAATCACTTAATCCAACTAAGCTCGCATAAGCATTTAATCAAAGAAATCCCATTTCCGAAAACACCACTTACGTTTTTCAAAACTTGACCCGTGCAGCGTTATTGAAATCAACATAACTTTCTGTACAAAACTCAGATGAAAATGATTCAAGTTGCACTAGAATCATAAGACACGCATCTACAATTTCTATGAAGAAAATGAAAGTAAATAAGGTCATTAAGGTAGTGTAAAAATAGCTAACATTCAAACATCAAATTCCGTCAAAGTATAAAATCCTACTTCATACATATCTACATTAAAATTATCAAAACTTGAGCTACATATATAATTTCAGAATGAATCTTATCTCATAAGAAAGCTAATTAATAGACCTACAACATTCATGAAGATCACAAACTCATTTGAGCACATTTAAGTACCATAAAAAGGTCACACATTTATTAATACATGCTGCCAGATTTTCGAAAACTGCTTGCACACTCGTTTTATAAAAATCATAACTCACTCGATATAACTCGAATTATCAAAATTCAAAAACCCCGAGAAAGCCAACAGAAAATACTACATTTCAACAGAAGGCCTCAACAACAAATTACGGGTTTCTAATGGTCATAATTACAGCACAACAGAGCATTAAATCATGCATGTACCAATCAAAAAAATCCAACTTCAAACAAGGATTCGGTAATATGAACGATACTTATATATAACATGTAATATACGAGAACAACCGCAATAACGAGAGGGTTCGGAAATGTTTACCGTCTTTGGGAAAATACGAACTCAGTTAAAGTAATCGAACGAAATGACGGGAGTTCGGCATCGGCATTTTAAATCATTTTCCTAATATTCTCCACGGGTATTCAAACGAACAACAATTCGGCTTCCGCGATTAAACCGAAAATTCAAATGACGATTGATAAAATAAAATCGAACGAGATATATAATCACAGTATCCATATAATAATATAAAATATAATCTCAAAATTAAGATTCGATAAATAGAATAATCCGAGAAATTCTATAAATCGAAAGGGGCGTTACATTAGCCACGAAAAGGGGATTCATTACCCTAACTGTGGGGGTACGTGCCACGCTACGGACACGGCCTTTCATTAGGCCTTAAGGGACTTACCTCGCAAGGGTAACCGTATTACATCGACGGGAACAACCGTACCGACGGCCGAATCGGCTCACGCCGATTGGCTACATGGTTTACATGCATACTTAGATCATACCAACCCAAAATTAACTATAATACATATGGCATAGCAAATTTTATAAGTAAACCCACCTGAACGATAACAAGCGAAAGCACAACAATAACGGGTAGGCGGCGAGCTCGGCTCGTCAAGCACCTACATTTATTAAAATAGTCCTATAAATGACTATGCAACACATGAAAAACTAATCATAACAATCACTTAGTCCAACTAAGCTCACATAATCATTTAATCAAGGAAATCCCATTTCTAAAAATACTATGTACATTTTTTTAAAAAACTTAAACCGGGCAGCGTTTTTGAAATCAACATAACTTTCAGTACAAAACTCGGATGAATATGATTCATGTTGCACTAAAATCCTAACACATGTATCTACAATTCTTATGAAGACACAGAAAGCAAATAAGGTCGTGTACTAGGAAATAAATCATCAAACATTCAAAACTGAGTAGCAGTCAAAAATCGAGAACTTGTAACCGACCAGACTTCAGTATTTAATAGATAACTGGAGCTACAGACATGTTTTTAATGAGATTCAAAAACTAAATGATCGCTAACTCAAATTTCTACAGCTTTGCGGAAGACCATATTGGCAAATAATCACTTTATAAATGAGTTTGGATACAAAACATTCGATTCATAAAGTCTGTCCGAGACTAAAGTATGATATAAACAGTACCTCAGTATTTATCTTCTTAATCATGTTAACGACCTCTAAATTTCATAGTTATAGTATTCTTAGAAAGCTAAGAGATAGCCCTACAACTTTCATTTAGAACACA